GTTGGCACACAATCCCAGAGAGACTGCTACAATAATCTTGTTTCTGTTTTCTAACTAAATATGACACTAAGTATGTAATTTTTACCGTTTTTTCTGATCTCCTTTTCAAATCAAGACATTAGGATGTTTCTGAATACACTTGTAGGAACATTTTACAACGTAGGAAATACATTTGGCAAGTGTAGGCTCACCATGTCCATGTACCGGATAAGTAGTTATCCTCTTCACCAGCAGATGTTCCTCTGGAAGAGTTCCCAGTAAGGGAACTTTCTTTGGAATCTGTATTTGGTTCTGTGGATTACCAAAGTTGAGCTCTGATGGATTTTGTTCTTATCGACTGAGCAGGTATGTCATTACACAGAGGTGCTGATGTTCTGAAATTCTGGTAGGCAGGTGGCAATGCATATCTAGCCCTGAAGAGAGTTTCCGCACTCTACCAGCATGTTCCAATATCCACTACGGCTTTAGAGCTGCTTATTATTGAATACTGTGTCTTCAGTGAAGATTTTTGTTGAATTATAGTCAAGTCCTTTAAGTGTCTTTATTTTGCATTAATTGTTCATGTAGAAGTTTTATAGTTACCTGCAAGTGCTTATAGATACCTGCAAATGCTTCTATGAATCATCTGACAATCAATATTCTATCAATACATCTTCCAAAAAGATAATACAAAAACATTCCTTTCCAGTTACACTGCAACATATGTGTATTAATAATGGATCCAGTGCTTATGGTATTTGATACAGCCTCATGATTATCGTGGACAGGCACTTGAAATTTGATACTTTTGGGCTTTTGAAAACTTTTTAAAGAAATGACATGGATAAATGAATAGTCCCTTGGTGCATAAAATGATGCAATTTACTGGTACCAGGGTCAGCTCCTGTTGCACAGTTTTTGGCAACTTCAGATGGGTTTATGATATGCTGAGTGAGAATATACTCCTCATGGACAGATACACTAGTGACAGGGATTGTATCCAACACTGCTAGTTTGACCTTGTGACAGAGGCAGGTTGCACACAATTTTCCCATTTTATACAGGTCTTGTAATAGGCAGTCAAGCTGGACGATTGAGTTTGAAAATGGCTCTTCTCAAGCTATTTGCAGATTTAAGCCTGCCTTTAATGGTGAACTGAAGCGTTTCAGAAAATCACTTTCCATGTTTGGGAAACTTATCCAGATCAGGGGAACTTGCAGAACAAACACATTTTCCTCAATTCTTACAGGTCTCCCTTTTATGGAAAAATGTGCTAATGTGTGTTAACAATATTGTTAAACATCTTAATCCTAGTACAAGAAGATTCACAATTCAAATGTTTTCCCCAAGGGTGGCAAACTTTTTGTGTTTTATATGCCATCAAAAATATGTAGAAATTTAGAAATTACTTACTATGCAAGAAATACAATTTCAGGACAGAATGTGGTGAATTCACCAGATATTGACAGTACAGCAGGTAGATGGCATGTAACATATCAAAGTAAACAAATCATTTTAATGTTCCTGTTATTATTCATGTAGAAATACAATGATACAATGTTTATGTTTATCAAAAATTAGTTTTAATTAGTGTTTGCATATGAAATGAATCAGTTACTGTTGCCCTTTACATTACAATGGATAGGAAATTTACTTCAGGACAAAAATGGAGAAGTAGTAGTTTATGAAAGTTCTCAATGGCATATTTGATGTAATATTTTAGTTCAAAAGTCAGTATTCAACTTGATTTAGTTTTGTATCATAAGACCATTGACGATGATGATGACCCATCCATCCATCCATCCATTTTCTATACTGTTCGTCTTATCCAGGGTCGTGAGGCTCCAGAGCCTATTCTGGAAGCTATGGATGCAAGACAGGGATTAATCCAGTGTGGGATGCAAACCATGATGATGATGATGATGATGATGATGATGATGATGATGATGATGATGATGATTTTATTATTATTATTACATGCAAGTATATTATATTCTTCAAACTTTTAGCACAAATCATAGAAGTATCAAAGTATCTTACTCTGGCAATCTAGTTGGCCTATGAGCCAAAGTCTATGGTTTAAATTTTGGTAACACAGTACTGAGGGAAGATGCAATGGTGTGGCCAGTTAGCTACCATGATTGCATCACCATTACCAGACATACTGCATGCCAGACATAAAGGCTAAATCTATCTAAATTGATATAATTAACAAAAATATGAAAAAAGAGAAAGAAACCAGCTACTTGCACCTATTCACAATGACTTGCTATACAGAAGCTTACAAATTGCATATTTCAGATCATTGCTGCATATACAGTAATGGTGCCAGGGAAGGAAAATGACTTGTACAGAAAACATAAATTTAAGAACCATTAAAGAACATTTGACATTACAATTCCTTTTTTCTACAAGAGGGCAGAGATACTCGGGAATAATTCTGGAATTGTAATTCAGTGTAGGCTCAGACTGAATTTGAGAGAAAGGATTCAGAGAGTACCTTTTGAAAAACTGTACTTCAGACATTTTTCCACAGTATCACTCTCCTTTTGCTGCTATTTTTTAAGGCTCAAAGTTAAAGAGCTTGCTAACAGACTGAGGTTATTTGAATTGGGAAAAGATGGCAACTGTCAGGGTCAGCCCCATGTGGTCCTACTGTGTCCCTTCCTCGTTTGGCCAGCAGGCGTCGCTGGTCATCCCGTTCTTTATGTTAGTCTTTGTTCTCCCATGTTACCTGTCTGGTTATATGGCTCAATGTGTTGAGCGTCCAGTTGTCTGAACCCTTCTGTCCTGCATTTGAATCCTATCTCCTCTGTTTTTGTATTTTGCTCCCTAGTGTTTCATTTGAGTTTCTTTAGTTCTTGTGTCTGATTTTGTAGTTGGTTTTGGTTTTGTTCCTTGTGCCCCTGCTTGTGTCTTTACCTGTTTGTAATTCCCTAGTGTTGGTTTATGTTTCCTTGGTTAGTTCTTAGTTTCCTTCTTTTCCTCCTGAGTTTATTAGTTTCTCCTGTGCCCTGTTTTCCTGGTCTCTGTTAATTAGTCTCACCTGTCCTGTGTTAGTCTTATTACCCAGTTTTGGTTTCTGTATTGAAGTCCCTGTATCTGTTCTGTTCCCTAGTGGTTCGTTGATTGTTGTTGATTGTCTTACGGTTTTGAAGTTAGATCTGTCTTATGTTTACCTGCCCAGTTTATGTTTATTTGTGATTTGTAGTCTTAGTTTATTGCCTTTAGTGTTTGACCCCTTGTGGTCCTTTTTGGTTTTGTTGTGTTTGTAGTGTTTTCTGTTTATTTACTAAACCCCATGTTTTGTTCCTGTAAGCCGCCAGTGGGGCGTCGACCCTTTTTTGTGCACTATGCCTCGTTCTCGCGCCCGAGCCGCCCGGATCCATGACAGGCAACATTTAAAACTTTATCTCCTGTGCATTAGATAATTACTCCTTTTACAGAACCTGCCCTAATTTAAATACAACATTCCCACAAATCTCATTCATGCCTGCATAAACAGTGTTCACCTTGAATCCTGGATAACAGAGCAATTGAAAAGGAAAATTATTGTCCTCATAGGGATACTATTCTTCAGTGAATAAAACGTCAGACATCATTGGCATGACGATATAAGTAGAGGAAACACATAAGACATTTCGACAACATATCACACCAGTCATAACACAATGTAATATTCAACTTCAAGGCATACCAAAAAGTTGCTGAAAATATATACTGTGCATAGGGTATAAGTATGACATCTACGTTAAGTCATACTCACTACATCAATGTGAGGAAAGCTCATCTGGTTACAGGTATCCACCCATTTTCCACAAAAAGCACAGGAAGGGGACACTGAATTTTCCCAGAATAAATACAGAAAGTTTAATTAGACAACATATTTTCTACATGTTATTTAGGTTAAATTAGGAAACAGAGCACGTGTTGGTATCCTTATCCATGTATCCATACATAGATTTTGGAAATTCAACATTATTTTTCAAAGGGAAAAAAGTAATCAGTGAGAAAAGATGTAAAATCTTTCCTATTATATTTCAAGACTACAGTTCTTTTGAGGTTTAATGCAATAATTTCCATCCAGGAAAAGACCTTAGCTTTGATGTGAACCTAACCCCATTCTAAAGTACTACAGCTTACCTCACCTTCCTCCTACTACTTTGCTTGTCCTGCCTTTAGCTATATGAGTCTTTCCTCCAAGAACTGGATTTTTCATGCACATATAATACAAAATTTTTTGTAGAATTTTTTGTTTCATATTGACCTGCGTTCCTTTCGCGCGTCATAGTATACTGAACACTGATTGGCTAATATTTCCGTAACATGATCTTTCCGTTTTGTATATGGTATGAGTTAAAAGTTTGAAATCTTGTCTGAAAGGCCAATATGAATAATGATTAAGATAAAATCACCGATTATAAAAGACAAACTGTTGTCGCTGCAATATATTTAAACGATTCACCGTTTGAATATCTGTCAGCTTTCACGTCATTAATTAATAATAATAATAATAATTTGTTGTTGTTTTAATATATAAATGTTAAACATGACGTACAGGTACTAGCAAGGAAGAGATGGAGCAGCTAGGGAAAAGAGGCTATTATTGAAATTTTCAAAGCCAGCTTTCAAAACGTTGCAGAAGTAATGCTCCATTAAATACGTCATACAAGGATTATGCTATTTAAAGCATGGTTTATTTTCTAGAAAATAAGCATTAATTTGTTTTTAAAATCCCTTTCCTTTGACGTGGAATGAAATAGCCACTTAGAAGTATCAAACCCGCACACAAAGATATCGTTTGATGTTAAATTTGGCATCAAAAGTGTGATCCTCTTGAAACATAAATCAGGGTCCTCTATTTTGGGGTGTGTAATTGGTTATTAGTGCATGAATTGCCGTGTTTATCCGATAAATTAGTAACGTGTGGCTTTTTTTCTCTCTATTTTTTTCCAGTTACCAAAGCAATGACGTTAACTGTCAACCTTCATAGCTTCAAACACCTGTGCCAGTAGCTCATGGACGCGCGCCTGTGCACGGGACTGCGCGCTCTGAAGCTGCTTATCTCGAGCAGCTCGGATCTTTCGCTACCCCGAAAAATCACACTGCCGCAAAGCTCCGAGTCGCGTTTAGGACAGGCAAAAAGCACGCTGGGGCCTATTTCTCTGAATCTTCGCACTTTTTGTCAACATAGAGTTATACATTCCAATATATTTTGGCTCCTGTGTTCTTTTATTTCTGCAGACGGTAAGTAAAGTACTTTACAGATGCTTCTGGCGGGTAACGGCAGTACCTGGTGTTTTGCGCTATGTGAGCGTGCATTCTCGGCTGTGTGGGAGTTTTAAGTTGCTTCAAGATGTTTTCTTAGCGATTAGAAAGGGTCGGAGAGTGGGAATTACAGTATACATTGGCAGTGTGCTGTTAAATAAATGATCCTGGAAATGTCAGTATTAACGGTCACGATAACAGTTTTACCGTGTAGCCTATGTTGTGACGTGCCGGGCTGAATAATGTCACGGTCCTAGAGTAGACACATTATTATTATTATTATTATTATTATTATTATTATTATTATTATTATTATTATAATCAGTGATTCTGCTGATACATTGTACATGTTGTTACCATTTATTCATCAACTGATCTGTTCACGCGTTATGTATCAGTCGATGTAAAACATTCACTGAATATGGAAACATTGCCTTTACATTTAACAAACCAGGTAGAGGTAGCGATTAAAAGAAATACAAATTAAAATAAACTTTAAAAATAAGCAAAATTCGCTGAGCTCGATGACGTCTCCCAGTAAAACTATAGTCCAAATTTGGTGTTTTACAGTGCAGTATTACATGAAATAAGATATAACTGACGCGCATCCTTAAAGTGTGTGCGTGTGTGGATTTACGTGCGCGTGCGGTACATATTCACCGTGTGCAGAATGTGAAGGAAGCACGCCCCCTTGCAGTCGTATGTTCAGTCTCCTTCCCGTTTGAGTGGGTAAGTGTGATCTTTAAAAGAGTCGGAGTTTAAACCGATGCACACTGTATGTTTACTACATGTATGCATGCTTAACTCTTATGCAGTTTAATTTTTTTTTCAGGGTTAGGAGACATCTACAAGCAAGATCATGGGAGAGGATTGAAAGCCATATTCGGGGAAAGTACCGAAGAACTGGTTAAACGCAATATATGGTCTTTAGGGTCTTTGGGTACCTCGGAACAGTACTTTGAATCGCTGCTGGTTGTGTTACGGATTTTTTCCCATTCTCTTATCGGAGTTCAGGGATTGTATTGTTTGGAAACTGTGGCGTTATGTCTTCAGGATAAATCTGCTATGTGTTTGATCTGGGAAATACCTCGTGGAAGGTGTACAGCTGGAAATAGACTAGGGAGCTGCGAAGTCTGTATTTAATCGCCGTTTTCTGTGCCTAATATACATGGAATGAAAGACGAAGAATGGATGTTATTTGGGAAATACTTATTCTTCTTCAAGCCAATTTTATCATCCACATCCCAGGTAATTCATTCGTCTCTTTTCCCTCTTAAATTGCAGATATATGATGACATGTGCTAAATGCTTTTAGATTGTTTTAAAGTTACCTCTGTACATGCTGTCATACGAAAGTTACGTAAACCTGTTTGGTCGCACATTTCTAATTCACGTTTTTGTTGATTTTCATCGGAAATTCAGTAACGCGTATGGTAATTAATAAAATATTTATTTCATATTGTTATTATTATTAATTTGGCAGATATATCGTCAAGGTCAGTATGCAATGCAGTGCTCGAGACTAGGCACTGTCCCCAGCATGCTTTCGGCTGTAGCGCAATTGAAACAGGCAAATGGATCAAGGACTGGGGTGATAAGGAGTACTGTGAAAGTGTTCAGATTAATAATAATAATAATAATAATAATATTAATAATAATAATAACAATATGCCTCCATGAATACGTATGTTTGCTTAAGACTGTATCATCTATGGCTTCTGATGCGTATGCGTTCTGGCTGTGGTGTGCCGTTGCACGTTTTATGTTAACGGAGTGGATGTTTAAATGTATTTCGGTAAATTAATTTTAAAAGTGTGTAGTTTAGCAAGACCGTTGTATGTCCTCGATTTTCTGAGAGCGACCGTGATTATTGGAAACGTACCGATTTCTTTACATACTTCTGTACCGCGAGCAGGCAACTGAATGGCGACACTCACTGACTTTGATAAGTATGAGGTGCTAAACAATTAAGCTGAACTATTCTAGGCAATTGTTCACATGCGTTTTGTTAGTAGGCTTTTACCATGTGATGAAAATACTTTTGAAAGGAAAACACCCCATCTGAGTGATTCGTAACTTCCCTATCTTCATTATAGCCCAATTTTGAAATATTGTTTTCTGACCGTATATACCGTTTTTATGACCATTCATAGTTATGGAATTGTACGCTTAAGTACCCTTTAAAATGTATTTGCCTAAATATGTTGATGCCTTAGGGGATACATTCACTTAATGCAAAGCATTTAGGACTTTAAGCTACATACCATGCAATGCCCTAAGGTGCTGTTTAGAAACGGTTACACACTGGAGTTCTCTTCAGGGAGTAAGTGTTCAATGTATGAACTCCGCAAAAAGATGAAAAGAATAACAGAGCAAAAGTGTGGAGACGTTATTATGTGAATAGGGCTAAAATGAGCTACCTGCTATTTCTTTATATATTTAAATTACTGTTGTTGAACTAAACATATATTTTATTACAAATTATGTTAAATTATGAATATTTAATCTGTTTAATCATTACAGAAGTCAGTTGCTTACTTGACCACCATTTGTATTGAAAGGAAATCAGACATCTTGGTGTCCTGCTTGGTGTCAGGCAGCTACTTTAGTCTGGCTTGTGACTCTAGTGCTTAAATGGTAAGAAATAAAACTTCCTCAGCTTTTTTTCTGCACTGCATGATATTATTAGATAATAAATAATCCAAATGTAAATCTACTTGTATTTGCTACCATGCACTAATTCCTCACTCAGCCCTCTGTCCTTGAGATTGTCTACAGGGATTTCTTTTTCTTCTTTTCCTTCTTCACTAAACATTAAGGTTTTTAAGTGATACAATGCTTATATTGTTTTTTTCTTGGAGAACTGTGTAGGAGTGGCAAATAGAATGACTCAGTCCGAAGTAGCAGGTGGGATCAGAAGGGCAGTGAGCACTAGGTGGACAAGCTAAGCCAAATAAATGTTTTCCCATTATAATGTTGGCATGGGGAGCCTGTTATGCTGCCTTAGACAGTGTGGTACTGACAGAATGATGGCTCAGTGCTACCTGCTTCCTCCCTGCTAATTACTGGTACTGTTTATTTGCTTGGCAAATGCAGTTCATGACATTTTATTATACTGATGTGATGATTTACTGTTTTATATGGTCAAATATTCACTAAACATACTGTAAGTCTCACGATTTCAACTTACAAACTTGTTGTCAGAGGGGCATTTCCTTGCCCACATGTAGCAGTTGCTCTCCCAATGTACTTAGTGATATGAACTATAGATTGCAAGGTGGTGTCTATCTGCTGGACACAGGGAAAAAGACAGTGAAAAAGACTATATACGTGTAATGTGATTCTAACCTAACTGTATATTGTTGTACTTTGTTCTTAATAAAGCGGTCTGGAACTAAATTAGAACTAGTATGATAGCTACTGAATGATAACTGCATTTTGGCTTGCACATAAAATGTCAATGTTAGATACATATGTTTAATATATGATAAGGCTATCATTCCAGAAAGTATAATAATATCTGCCATTCTTTTTTTTGCTAGAAGTTTGTAATTATATAAATTGGTTGGTTATATGTTATGTAAATGATAGTTAAATATGAATTGATCATTTAATTATATTTATAAAAGGAATCTATTTAGGGAAGCTGCAAGTAACCTATGCCAGTAACCTTTTGGTGTTTCCCGCAATGTCTTCTCGATATGATGACCAATAATGACCAGCAGACTCAATATCTGTCATTCTGGTTAAAACCATTTTTGTGATTTATAGAGTAATCTTACTGATGTTCGGTAACAGAGCTACAGAATGGAAGGAGGAGTCAAGTTGGGTTGAAAGCGATAGCCACATTGAGCACTGAACTCTTTCTTAATCCAAGGAATAACCAGTCCAAAAAAACCAGTAAAAAAACAAATCCATCTACCTTCTCAGTCGTGGTACACTGAACAAAGTACTGTGGATCTGTCAAAGTATACAGGCTAAGGCATCATTAAAAGGGAATTAGATGAGAGAGGCCATTCTGAATAATCACCATTATACCTGCAGAAAAGCTGAAGGGATAATGAGTAACATGCCTAATATCAATACTAAATGTGCTGAGGGCTTTACCTCTCCTCAGTTTATACTGGACGGGTATTACATTGTTCTTCTTTCCAGAGAAATGAGGCTAAGAGGTGACACTATCTTGTGTTGGTAGCACTGATTGAAAGTGGAGTCATACACTGCAGGATTAATTCCTGTCAATCTGCAGGAATATAAACAGCAAAGAGTAATAAACACATAGAACGACCAAAGCAGTCCCAGAATTACTCTGCATGGAAAATGTTCCATCAATAGCATGAAAATCCTTGTGTTACAGCAGTAGACAAAATGGTAGCGCAATGAGTTCATCCAGCAATATTCTATTGTAGCTAATATTTACCTTTCTCGTGGCTTTTATTGAAACTTTTGCATAAATTATTCTTCAAGTGAAAAAATATTTTGGGAACTGCAGTTGACCTACTGTAGTGACATTCCACTTTCTCTAGGTTCTATGCTGAGGACCACAACCTAAATATGTCACAGTTCGTCACCTAGCAAGCGATGCATCGCATATCGTTAAGTGAGAATTGTAATAACAGAATGTTGCATTTTTAAATTAGCTTCTCAGATACCCTGCGGTGTTAAAATGTGGCATCTCAGTATTTTATAATAGAATGAAGAAAGAATGAAAAAAAAATGAAATAGATGACTGGAGCCTGATTTTCTGTTTCCTGTTTCATGGTTCTTTGGGATATACAGAAAAAGGTTGTCATGTTTTCTAAAACCAAGTAATGTTTTAGGACTTATAACCCCCTTTTGTGTGGTACTGCATTAAAACCAGTTGAAAGTATTGCAGTCATTTGGCAGAGATGGATTCTGTACAATTCATCGATTTTCTTTGTTAAATTGGCCCAAATAGTATTTAAAATTCATATTCTGTTTTAGTTTAGCTTCAGTTGTTCTTGTATCCATTTCTGTTTACTAAAGCTGTTTTATACTATTGTTGTGATCATTATTGAAATATCGATAGATACCTGGATATTTACTGATTTATTTACATACATGACATTCTAAATAGAAATTCTGGTCCTGTCTAGTTAGTTCCTAAACCCACCTATATAAATCATTTTTCATAATCAGTTTCTGCTGAACTACAATAAACTTCTGGCAATATACAATTACTTAATTTCTTAAATACTTAAATATCATAGTTTAAATTACTATAAGCCTCAAGGAAAGTTACATTAAAAAGAACTGTTGATAATTTTAAATATAAACCTACAATGTTTTTTCTTAACAGCATTGCAGTGTTGGGGTGGCTTGGTATCTCAGTGTTGCCTTACACCTCTAGGATGGGGGTTTGAGTCCCACCACTGCCCTCTGTATGGAATTTGCATGTTCTCTCCATGTTATGTGGGTTTGTTCTATGTACTCTGCTTTCTTTTTAAAGTTCAAACACAGGCAGGGAGGTGACCATTGAGTATTGTCTATGTGTGTGTCCTGTGATGGTCTGGCATCCCTTCCAGGGTATTTATTCCCCTGCCATGTGCCCTGTGTTTCTTGAGAACCAGGCTCTCCATGACCCTGTACTGGATATGTGGTTGGAAGATTGATAGAGGTGTTGTTTCACAATAATGGATTGAAATGTTTTATAAATCATAAAGGTAATTTCAGTAAAATAATAATTAAAAAACGGTGCGTCGATTTAAAATATTGATGTCCATGCATTTTCAGCTTTGACGTCTTCGATTACGTCGACTAATCGTAGTAGCCCTAATCTCTAACAACATCACTGACCTGATGGTCATACGTTCAACAATAGAAACAAGTGGATAACTTATTTATAATTCTATATGTGCCTGTGTAAAGTTACTACATAGGCTATGTTTCTCTCAGATGGAGGGAACAATCACGCATGCACAAAAACAACTGGCTCATAACATTTGGTAAAAACACCCCATGTAAGTATAACTACAGTTTTGTTGTTTGTGGCTAGCTGTCAGATACTGAAGGGCAGTGAAATTTGTACAGGCAAACAAACTGAGTTGGTCTGCCATCTACCTTACTGGTTAATGTTAGTTAACTATTTATCTCATATATCATATCATATATCATATCGCAGCTTCACAGTTTGTCTGTGCTATCACATTGATTACATAGCTACCCAAGCCGACATGTGCATGATATATTTTAACGGTTTAGGCTAATGCAGTATATGTCTGTTGGAC